GACCATACCTCCTCCTTCTAGGTGCTAGACCTCAGAGCACCCCCAGTGAAGCTCCTGCATGCTCAGCTCCACTCAGAGTCCACTTCCCAGGGAACCTGACCATGACATTGGCTAACAAGGTCCTCCACAGCTGGCTCAGCAGCGTGCTGGGCAGAAGATGGGTGCCTTCTGGAAATTGAATGGGTTCCCTGGCTGGTTGGCTGGTGGGGGCAGCGTGGTAAATAAGAGGTGAAGGGAAGAAATTTGGTTCACTGGACAGCCCTGCACTTGCACTCAGAGGCACTCAGGGTCACGGTCAGGGAACATCCAGGGTCATTAATGAGCGATACAGACCCCAAGTCGTTGCTTCCATGGCCGACAGTGGAGATCTGCAGTCCAGGCGGCACGGGAGGAGGAAGGGCTGGTGTCTTTGTTACTAATGCTGCCCTATTAGCTGAGCATCTTCCTCTGCATTGATTTTTATGTGTTCTCTGCTCTGCCAAGCCGGGGACAAAAAGAAAAGGCAACGTTTCAGGATATGCTTTTCTTCTGCAGCCAATGTAGCTCTTGCTGAATTTCACTTCTTTATCTTTAAATTACTTGCTGCGGGAACGAGAGCAGATCGCCGGCGTGTTTATTATGAAATGTGGTGCTAACCCCGTCGCATCAAGCAGAGAGAATGGCAAGAGCAATGATATCCTGAGCGTTGCTCGCCAGCTTCGAGCTTGCTTGGCTCTTCCTTGTCTGCTGGTCTTTGCATGTGTTAGAATAGTCACCAGCTCAGCCTCGATGCTGTGTCCATCTGCTTCAGTCCTGCTGGGCTTTAGGGTTCGTCTCAGACACGACCTGCTACAGGTGTCCTCCCAGTCTCCCCTGCAGGATTCTAGGCCTCTCTTCCACTGACCACGCAAAGTGACCGGCAGGTGCTTACTTCTATCTTTATATTGGCCCCTAGGAAACTCGGCATTCAATTTCCAGCCTGCCATTAACCTGTTAAATCTGTATGTTGTGAAAAAGAAACTCCTTCTAATGTCTTATTTGCTTACCCTTATTTTCCTTTTCCTTTGTTTCTACACTCGCATCAATTTGTAATCATCGACTCATCCAATCACTTTTTCGAGCAAGAGGTGTTTTTCAGTGACCACAATGTCTAATAATGAATCACCCACTATGTTCCGCATTGATTTACGAGTTTTTAAATAAAGAATGGTGTTATCTTTTCATCTGTCTCCCGGAAACGCCAGACTCACAGTAGGTCTGTAACAGGGTGGTGCCCAGGAAAGGGGGAGGTTCCAGGTTCCCTGCCCCACCCAAGGGAGGGTGGAGCTGAGCAGGGAGAGAAGAAGCTGCAGAGGAGACTGAGGGAGGAAGGAAGCAGGATGGAGCCAGAAGGAGCCCTGGAGGAGGTGCATGGAGCCGAGAGACACGTGACGAGACTGCGCTTGCTTTTGGTCGTGGACTGGGTGACACAGATGTGGGTGAGACCCGTGGGGAGGTGACCATGGCAGCTTTTATCTTGATTTTGACTTTGCTCTTTTCCTTCCAGGCTTGTCTGGTTGTTTGTGACCCTTTTCTGTGGGTCCCCACTGGAAGATGCTTTGGACTTGTGGCAGGCTTTGAGGTCTTGCTCTGGTCCAATCCCATTTGGATGGAGTTTTACCCACGAGGGGACGGGTCACTTTGGGTGCTTCATTTAGAAACTAGATTCTTTGCCTTTCCTGTATGTTTCCTAATTGTATTAACGTTTCTTCCCATTAAAGTCTCATATGTTTTGTGTTGATGTGGCGGATGGCAGAACCCATTTAGAGCAGGCAGATATGGGGGGATCTGGGGTGCACCTCTCCCTGCCCTGTAACAGATTCTCAGAAATATTTACTGAGTGAGTGGACCAGGCTGGAGGAGTGGAGGTAGCGGGGGTGAGTCTAGTGCTTTGGAGACTTTTTAATTTAGACCTACAACCTTAGATGAAAAAAAGGGAAGAAACTAAATGTTTGTATATTTTTATGTTAAAAAGATGATGAATGATTACTTGGCCAGAAGACATGGGGAAAGAGAGAAGGAATGACATCAGTACAGGAAAAATGTCCCCTTTGAGGAGTCCTAGTCTCCAGAAAAGTCTCCCTCCCCTTACCCACGAGGGGATCCCCTCCCTCCATGCTTCTCTGCTGCATCTCTGAGGAATTGGACAGCACCCAGGGGTGTCCCTACATTTCACTCCAGCACCTCAGCTTCCTGGGAGAATTCAGCGATGGCAGAGATAAAGATGAATGATAACACAGGCAGAGAGGGCCTCAAGGAAATCCAGGCAACCCAGGACTCAGTGGGAGGCCTTGTCAAAACTGACCATCATTTCCTCTTATCTCAAAAGAGAGGGTGAGAATGAAGCTTACTGGTATGGAACTGGCCAGATTTGAGGAGGGGAGAGATCATTTTTCATCGTCAGCTCTTGGGGACAAGACTGGCTCAGAATTTCTGCCCACTTGGTGACACACGGGTAAAATTACTAAGAAATAAAATTGGACAGTTCACAATTAATCGCCATGGGAGGCCTGGGAGGTTGCGTTCTTCTGATATTCTTGAATTCTGTCCCTGCTTTTAGATGCACCAGTCATGTATTAAGCCAGTGTTGCTTCAACCCCAGGCCCTGGGCGTTACACCTCTGGCTTTGTGAGGCTAATCTCAATCAATCTGAATACCAGCCAGTGAAACAGGAATCATCATTATCTTTACTTTACAGAGGAGGAGACTGCGTTTTAGAAGAGGTAAGCAATTATCCGAGGCCAGATAATGAAGTAGAGACTTGACCCTTTCTCTGATCCATTCCTGGGACTAAGCTCTTTACTGGCTTTCTAGGCAAAAATCTGGTGCTTGAATATGTTTGTTTGACCTGTGTGATGTTATTGAAAAACATTATTTGCCAGTAGTTAAAAAAAAAGGAAGATTTTTCAAACCTAGAATCTTTTCACTCATCCTGAAAAATAACACAAACACTCTGGTAACCCACAGAGCCCTACCCAGCAATACCTGCTGGCGGGGGACCACAGCTGCCTTGAGTATATCCGGCTGTCTCTAGCTTATATAACCTGCTTGGCATCTGTGGGGGCCTGAGATTTCAAGCTTTGGTTAAAGCCGTTGTGGATCATGAGTGGAATGAGCCAAGAGGAACCAAGCTCTTAGTTATGAATATTACACTCGTGGACAGACTAATGGCCTTTCCATCAACCATGGGTGCCATGGACAATGGTGGTCTCTGACAGGGTACCCCAGAATCCAGGTGTGTGGTCAGCTCTAGTGTCTAGGTTTGTGACATTCACACAACAATGAAATCGCCTAATGATGCATTTCTCAGAATGTGTCCCTGTTCTTAAGCAACACTTGACTCTACTTCCTCAGGATTGTCATTCAGTGGGCAACAGGACCCAACTTGTCCCTGAATAACTCCCCCCGCGTCAGAAGAACTGGAGCCTTCATTGTCCATCACTAGACTTGAAGTGTGTAGAAAAGGACCTCCTTAGGAGCTAGCGAACAGGCTCAGGCAGTCTCTCCAAATCTCCCTCAGCTTTTTAAAGGCCCCAAGAATCAGAATTCCGGGCCTCCCTCGTGGCGCAGCGGTTGAGCGCTGGGTTGCGAAGCTGCCCGCGGCCTCTGCGGCGCTGGTTCGATCCCCGGCTGCTCCCCGGCCACCGGAGGAGGGTCCCACATGGTGCGCAGACCTCTCCTGCCGCCCGCTGCTCCCCTCAGCAGTGTACTTCGGTCCTTCTGCCTGCTCTGCTCCCCGCTCTGGCTCTGGTGAATTCTCTCACCCTCCCGCGCTTCTGACTGTACCCAGTGCTTGCATAAACAAACAAACAAACAAACAAATAAATAAATAAATGTTTAAAAAAAAAAAAAAAGAATCAGAATTCCTGTGGGTCTTGTTGAGCTGCGTGTCAGGTCCAGGCCACCCCACTGACACACTGGAGACAAAACCAGGTGAAGAGTTCCCTTTGCAGAGTTCTGACTTAACAAGACTTACTTATGTCTCTTTGTGCTGCAGGTTACAAAAGCACCATCTTTTCCATACATAACTAATGTGTAATTGCGTGTTAAGTTGCTGTGCCTGCTCTTTAGTCCTTTGGGAGGCGTAAAGACAAAGGAACCAGCCTTCCACAGACGCTTGGAGATCCACTTCTCTGCCCTTCTTGCTTCACATTTAGTGTTTGGCATGATCTTAGAGAGGAGTCTCGGGAAAGTTTGCACACCGCAGCCTGGATTCATTGTGACCGTCAGGCCGTCAACTCACTTAAACTCACTAAAGATGATGGTGATGATGGTGAGGATGGTGACAATGGGGGTGGTGATGGTGGTGGTGGTGATGAGGATGGGGGTGACAAAGATGGTGATAAGAGAGCCCCACCACGAGAGCGCTTTGCTGCACTATGCTGGGTGCCTTATATATGCCATCTCCAATCCTCATGACAACTCCCATTGGCCTTATTATTTACATTGTGCAGGTGAGGACATGGACATGCTGAGAGAGTACAAGCCTGAGGTGACAAGCTTGAAAAAGTCTTTCAAATTTAGTTTTATTTCCTTTCAAAACCATCCACCTTGCCGCATATGCAAATCTCTAGCAATTGAAATTAAAATCTCTGGGCTACCCAAGAGCGCAATTTGGAAGAGATCCATCTACCGCATTTCTTCATTACCCCGTGGAAATCTATGTGTCTAGGGGACTTCGAGCATCCATCACTGTATAAAGCACAGGCAGCTTCAGAGTGTTGGTTTAAGGACTCTTTTAGAATGACCAGGGTGAATTAAGGCGCTAGTGAGTGGCGGGTCTCCCTCCCAAGACCTCCCTGACAGAGACGAACCACTCTCTCCGAGGCTCTTTCTATTAGGCACAGAGAATATGTCCTGAAAATTGCTAAATGGTTTAGTGGCTGCTCTGTAGTAAGAAATGTTAACCTTTTATCCAGAGGAGCCAATTAGTACGAGTCAACCAGTGGTTAATAATAATAATAAAACAGAATGATCACAGAATGAAAGGCTTTTATTTTCATTTCACAGGAATCTCTTGTTAAACGTGAAGAGGCTTTTCTTTATCTTTAATTGAAGAGAAGAAACACCCAGAGTGTATCTGTAAGGCTGTAATGACAAGATGATAGGGAAGGAGCCTGGGGGAGGGGACTTCCCGAAAGCTTTTCTTTGAGGCTCGGGATGGAAGCAGGTGCTGAATGGATCCTTCTTCCTCTCGTGTTTCTTCTCCCTGTCTGTTTCTCCATCACAGCACTTTGCCCCCTCTCTCCAGGGTCTGGGGCGTGTTCACAGACAAGGAGTCTTGCTTCCACCGTGCTTGGAGGAACATCAAAGACCTGAGGAGCAAGACCTGGAAGGAAATGACAAAAAGCCCAGCGGCGTTCATCAGTGCCAGCCGAGTTGGGAGCAGCATGAGTGGGCAGAGGGGAGAAGCCTCAGACATGCAAGGAGCCTTCTGGTCTCAGGGCTGCTGGGGGATGGGTCTCTCACTTGCTGACTACCTAGTCTATGGCGCCACCATGCTGGCTGTTTGGACCCTTCCTTGATTTGACACACCCAGCGACCCCACCGAGCAAGGTGTTTTCACCCATCACTTACGGATAAGAATTCTAAGATTGTCCCTGGTGTCATAGTGAAACTGAATTCAAATTCAGGGTTTTCCCATGATTCGGTTCCCCTGACTCCTTCCAAGGATGCTTTTAGCTACTGGGTGTATCTTGTTTTAACCAATGACTGTGTTTTTCTACAGAGGGAGGAGAGGAATAAGGAAGTTAAGGGGCAAGTTGGATGGGAGAAAAGTACAAGAGTGATCCGTGACCCCAAATATCAACTCCTGCGCCTCCCATGGGCTCCGTGCTAGGCACTGGCGGATGCAGGTCCTTATTTTATTGTTATGAACCCTGTGAAGCTGGTATTATTTCCTGTGAGGACCTTGAAGCTCAGAGAATTTAAATGACTCATGCAGACCACATAGTTCTAAGTAGTAGAGCTGGAATTTGGACCCAAATAACCCGTCCCAAGGGTCCATTCAGCACCTGCTTCCATCTTGAGCCTCAAAGAAAAGCTTTCAGGTAGTCCCCTCCCTTGGGCTTACAATAAGCAAATCATCTTATTTATTTCACATTCTCTCCTCTCTGCCAAAGAAATTTGGTGCTTTGATTGGAGATCTACCTGAAGTGTTCTGGGCATATTCCTCCAAGACTGAGAAATAATTTACCTCTTTATTCATTCATCAAATATGTACAAAGACAACATCCAATGTTATTGAGGGTGTGGAGCAACTGGACCTCTTTTCTATTAGTTTCTTTTTCATTTTATTAAACTTTTAAATTTCTTACATTGTTGCTCATTTTTGTACAGTATTTGATTTTTCCCCTCAGGAGTAGTCCCCATAAATCTTCTACCATCACATCACCTGTCAACCATCACCATGGTCTCTTGTGCTCTTCCCTCTCCTTTTTAATCCCTCTCTCTCTCCCCACCATATGCCTCAGATCTATAGTTGCCTACAAGTTTTGTCTTTTTTTTGATACTTTGTTTGGTTTGCCCATATCCCTTCTATAAGTGACACCATCCATATTTTTGTTTTTTCTTCTGACTTATTTCACCAAGCATAATCCCTTCCTGCTCCACCCATGTTGCTGTGAGTGGCATGAGTTTATCTTTTTTGACTGCTGAGTAGTATTCCATTGTGTATCTATACCACATCTTCTTGATCTAGTCATCTGTTTTTGGGCATTTAAGTGGTTTCCATATCTTAGCTATTTTAAGTAATGCTGCACTAAACATTGGCGCGCAGGTTTCCTTTCGAATTAACCTTTTTAGTGTTCTTTGGGTAGATTCCTAGGAGTCATATAGTAGATCCATGTTTAGTAATTTGAGGGTCCTCCACACATCTTTCCACAGTCCTTGGACCAGTTTGCATTCCCACCAGCAGTGTAAGAGGGTTCTTTTTTCTTCACATCCTCACCAGCATTTGTCGTTGCCAGTTTTTTTTTTTTTTTAAATAAGGGTCATTCTTGCAGGTGTGAGGTGGTATCTCATTGTGGTTGTGCTTTACATTTTCCTGAGTATAAGGGATGTTGAGCATTTTTTTTATAAGTCTGTTGACCATTTGCATTTCCTTTTTGGAGAAGTGCCTTTTTTGCTCTTCTGCTCATTTTTTGACTGAGTTGTTTACTTTGTTTTTGTTGAGTTGTGTAGGTTCTTTGTAGATCTTTGATAAAAGTCCCTTATCAGTTGTATGGAGTGCAAATATTTTCTCCCAATCTGTGGGTTGTCTCTTCATTTTGGTTATTGTCCCTTTTTATGTATGGAGGCTTTTTAGTTTGAAGTGGTCCCGGTTGTTTATCTTTTCCTTCATTTTCTTTGCTTCTGAGGTTGAGTCCTTAAAGATGTTTCTGAGATATATGTCATGGAGTGTTTTGCCTATGTTTTCTTCTATATAGTTTATGGTTTCAGGTCTTACATTCAAGTCTTTCATTCACTTTGAGTTGTTTTTTGTGGATGGTTTGTGGTAGTAGTCTAATTTTATTCTTTTGCATGTAGCAGTCCAGTTTTCCCAACACAGTTTATTGAAGAGACTATCCTTGACAACTAGAACTCTTGTAATGATTGGTAAGGATGTAAAATGGTGCAAGCACTTTTGAAATAATTCTGGTGGGCTTTCCCCCCCCATAAGATGAAATATATATCAGCCACATGAGTCAGTCACTCCATTCCTAGACATTTACCCAATAGCAAGAAAAACATTTGTTCACAAAAAGACTTTTACAAGAATATCCACAATGGTTTTATTCATAATATCCCCAAATTGGAAACATACTTTTCCATCAACTGGAGAAAGCATAAATAAACCATGGTGCTTTCATGCAAGGTATGCTACTTAGTAATGAATAAATTACTGATACATGGAAAAACACAAGTGAATCTCAAAAACATTATGCTGAGTGAAAGAAACCTTAGAGAAAATAGTACCTAATGCATAATTCTGCTTTTATGAAATTCTAGAATGGACAAAACTAATTTAGATTAGAAAAACTCAGCTTTGTGTATGGGGTTGGGACTGGCTGGGAAGGGGCATGAAGGGATGTTCTGGCTGTGATGTTTTATTTCATGATAGGAGCTGACTTACGTAGGTGGATGCAGTCGTCCAAATGCAGTTCATCTGCCAGGGCTGCTGTAACAAAGCACTGCAGACCATGTGGTTTAAACAATAGGGATTTACTGTCTCTCAGCTCAGGAGCTGGGAAGTCCGAGATCAGGTGTGGGCAGGTCAGTGTCTTCTGAGGCCTCTCGTTGGCCTGTGGACAGCTGTCTTCTCTCTGTGTCTGCACGCGGTCTTCCCTCTGAGTGGATGTGATTTTCCCTTCAGGGCATCAGTCATATTAGACTAAAGTCCACTCATATGACCTCATTTTCATTTAACTACTTCTCTAAATACAGTCACATTCTGAGATACGGGGACTAGGACTTCAACACGTACAGCTGCTCAGTGCTCCAGCTACAAATTTCACATTTAGTTCCATGGACACAGGCCTGTTGGCTTCCTGCCTCCACTCTGATGATGAATTCCACAGCAGCCTCTAGTCGTGCGAAGATAAATCATGGCGGGTCTACGTGGTAAACCACAGAAATAACAGCCATTTATACTTCTCCCAGGAGTCCCTGGTGAGAACCCCTTCCCTATTTATGATGTGTAGTGATGAAAGTTAAAAGCCAGGGTGGGAGTGGCAGCTTTATTTTATTACCATCTGCACACCACACAAGACACCCAAATGGAAAGTCTCATTGGCAAGCCAGTTAGTTAGGAAACCCTCACGACACAAAATTCATCATGGAGAAAAATAGGCAGCCGCACAAACTGCAGTAATATTTTCAATACTGGCTGAATGTTTCTGAATTGGAACAAAGGGCTTTTTCAATATTCTCAAATGACTTCTAGGCTTACAGTCCAAATCCCGATGAGCAAAATGTTGCCGTGATTCAAGTCACAATATCAGAAAATAAATAGTTCTTCTGCCAGTGTTTACATTCAGGGGATTTGGGAAACCTTGACTGAGATGGAAAAAAAAAATCTTTGCATTATGAAGCATGAGTTTTTCTGTGAGGTCATAAGCTATGGGTTTGATTTTGACTAGATAAAGTTAAGAAAGTTATTTTGTCTCTATCTGAAAAATGGAGATAAAACTATCCATTCAGGATGTCCTAAAAATTTAAACTAAGGGGTAGAAAAGACAGAACGTGTGCTTAGTACTTATTTTAGTTTACAGTATTCAGAAAGTGGTGGTGATGATGATGGTGGTGATGATGGTAATAATGGTGGTGGTGATGATGATGATGGTGGTGGTGGTGATGGATGGTAGTGGTGATGATGGTGGTGGGTGATGGTGGTGGTGATGATGATGGTGATGATAATTATGATGGTGGTGATGATGATGATGTGGGTGGTAGTGTAATGGCCATGATGCTAATGATGATGGTAGTGATGAAGATGGCGATGATGATGGTGGTGATGATGATGATGATGGTGGTGGCAGTAGTGATTGGTGGTGGTGACTGATGTGGTGATTGATGGTGGTAATGATGATAATGGCAATGCTGGTGACATGAAGGGAACATGCAGTAAAAAACTGCCTAAAGCAGACAAGGAGGCAGCTACTCTGTCTCTCAAAGGATTAAAATTTTGTGAAATCAACCAAGATACTGTTTAATGTTTTGAGTTTAGGTTAAGAAAACCATTAGAAGGAGATTGTCTGATAGCTGGGGCTGCAAATGGTTTCTCCTTAATTAATTGTGAGTCTGGCTTATCCATAGAGTATTATAATCAGTTAGTGGTGACTGCCAGGGGTTTGGACCAGAGGCTCAATAATGTATGTAAGTTTATGGACTCCACTGAAGAAATCCCAAGTAGATTTCTGGTACTTTTTACTAAGGACACATCCGAGGTTTAATATTATTTGGATGTGTCTACCTCATTAGATTTGAGAGCAAATAATCTATTACTAATTTTTATTAGTATTAAAAAGAATTTGTTATTTTTGTTAATATAAGTATAATACTAATGATGACCTATTAAAATAACTATTCCCTTTTTAGCTTCATCTCATAGACAATTCTTTGGTTCTCAATGAATGTTTGTTGAATCAACTTAAAAATGTCTTTCCGATGCCGCTTAGTTAGTATTTATAATGTCTTATGTTTGGAGTGGTATGGATCAAGAACATTGCAAAATTCTATGCCTTTGCAACGTCTCTCAAAGGGTACTTAAGGGGAAATGAACAAGCTACTCTTTAATAAAAAAATCATGTAAGCAGGTGTCAAAAAAAGAGAAAAAATTATGTGGAGTTA